CTCAATAAATACATTCTGCTCATGACCTCTGTTTGTTCCTAAAATTCATTCTTTGGTTTTAGAGAACACAAACTCATCCCAGGTACCTTTTACTTTGGGAGATCAGTTTTTCTCCTTGTGTCATTTGGAGGTTCCCTGTATCATTACCTTCTGTTGGTTTTTCTTGACTCACCCATGATCACATTCAGCCTCCAGGGTAAGAGGGCTATTTCAATCTTTTAGGATCTCAACCTCCTTTCCAAAAATTGTAGAGGAAGCAAAATTTAAATTCTAACCTCTGGGCCAGGAGTTCAATTCCAGGTTCCACCTAAATAAATGCACACACACACACACTATGTGTGGAAGCAAAAAGAGATAATTATTTGGGGGCTGGTATTGTAGCTTAGTGATAAAGTGCATGCTTAGGATTTACAAGGCTGTGGGCTCGATCCTCAACACAAAAAAAAAATGAAAAGAAAGAAAAGAGGAAGAAAAGAAAAAAAGAATTTGTTATGGTTTTGATACAGGGAAACGTCCAAACGACACAGGGAGAAAAACTGATCTCTTAACCTAAAACGTACCTGGGACGAGTTTGTGTTCTCTAAAACCGAAGAATGAATTCTAGGAACAAAAGGAGATTATGAGCAGAATATATTTATTGAGGGAAAGAAAGCTCCTGTCTGAGAGAGGGACAAGAGGGGGTCCCAAGTGGGTGGTCCCCACGAAGCTGTCTCTTCCAGGGACTTTTATAGATGAAAACCATGTGGTGAGGTAGGTCTAAAGTGGTGGAGAAGACATGGGAACTTGCTTAGGTGGGCATGAGGTGGGACAAAGCTATGGTCAGTCAATGAGATTACAAACACCATTGCTCAGGTAAAATTAATTAAATCCAGTACCAAATGGGGAAGTGAGTCACATAGCAAGAGGGCATGAATACGGACAGGGTCTCTTCCTGTTGGGGGTTGGGCTAGTGACTCATTTGGGCTCTTTCAAGGTGATTGATACTTATTTAGACTATCAATCTCAGATGCCCATCACTAGGGAAGTATGTGACTGTATTTATTTACTCTTGTCTTAAGATCTGGCCCACAGCAGAGGATTGTCCATCGGTAGCTGCAAGATCACCTTGTCTTCTATATTGTCCTTGAGGGCCTGGCCCTATCTAACTGCCTATAATATTTCTGTCTAATTCAGTTGCCTACAATAGTTTGTGTCTAATGGTCCCCCCAAAGCCTCATGTAAGTTGTGGGGCACAGGCCACTGGAGGAGCAAAGAGTGGCCAGAAGACCAGAGCAGGACCCGAGGGGTGGGGCCAGAGAGGCACAAACCATTAAACTGGCTAGCCTGTGCTTTCTCAGAGATGTGAAGAGGGTTATCCTGGATATGGCAGCGCCCCAGCCTCTCCTCCAGTGTCTTTAAATCTCCAGTAACTGTGAGCTAAATAAACCTTTCCTTCACTCATTTTGAGCATTAGGTATTTGTCCCAGCAATGAGAGAAGAGTAACGAATACAAGATTATTTTAACAAGGTCTGTCTATACAGAACTTTGAAGTTGTGGCTTCCACCGAAGAACAATTCAGTACATCTTCCACATGGAAATTTTTCTTTCCAGTGTTTAGAAAGAAAAAAGATCAGGAGGGCCTCCTAGCATCTGCCTTTAGTTCAAACTAATGCAATAATGACATGTTTGGGGGTGACACAATCTGCCACTCTTTAGTACCTTTGGGCAAGCAGAACTTTGTTTTATAGGGTAAGGCTCTTGGATTCTGCACCTAGCAAGTGCCACTCCTCAACAAGAGCACAACACTCAGAACAGCTTCTCATACTGACCTGTGGGAAACCAGGAGAGAAGAAGGGCTTCCATCCTAATTGTGTCACTTTGGTACTGGGTCCCCCGAAAGGTTTGTGCCTTCCATTATCTCCATGTTTCATGGAGTTTGGGAAGAGCCTTCTCCTGCATTGCTTGCCCACCTTCATTTTCCTCTTCAAAGGCTTGTGTTCAGGCTGCACTGGGAAGCCAGCTGGACCACGGAGGCCCAGCCTCCCCTGCTCAGAGGCACTGAGAACTATCTCTGCCTAGACTACACCATGGAAAATACGCCCACCCACCATGTGGGAGAATGCAGAGTAGGAAGGGCCCACCGGACCGTCAACCCAAACAGGATACAGAATGGAACGCACACCGCGACTACAGCTCTGCAGAAATATATCTGCCAGTAGACTAACACCAGAAATGAATAAGCAAAAATGAAAAGCAACTGCATCTACGGTGGTAAAAAATAGGGAGGAGTTTTCTCTCATGGCTCTCTATTTTTTATCTTTCTGTAATGCCATTACATAGCTCTTGTAAAGAGAGTTAAATTTTTAAAACTTCCTCAGTGTGGAAAATGCTGTACTCTAAACATTTCCTACTGTGTAAGTATCTGAGTAATCACAATGATTTGGAAAAAAATCTAGAAACTAAAATTAACCAGTAGGTCCATGTCACAAATATTTTAAGTATTCTCAACATGAAATCAAATAAATTTCCTGTCAATGTGGAAGTTGAGGCCTTTCAGTTTGATGTGCAAGAGGTAGAACATAGAGGCTAAAGTGAATTTCTGGGTCAAATAGAGATGTATTCAAGCTGAGCATAGTGGTGCATGCCTTTTATCCCAACACCTGTGAGGCTGAGGCAAAAAGAATGCCACAACTTCAAGGCCAGCCTGGGCTACATAGTGTGTCCAAGGCGCCAGCCTGAACTACATAGCAAGACCCCATCTAAAAAAA